CTCAAGTGGTAGAGCGCTAGCCTTGAGCTGATGAGCTGAGGGACAGTGCCCAGGCCCAGAGTTCAGGCCCCACGACCAGACCCAAAAAAAAAAAAAAAAATCTGGGACAGCACCTAGGCCCTGAGTTCAAGTCCCACTACTGGCATGTGCACACACACACACAGATGTACACACACACAGAAATCATGTATATGATGACTTTAACTTTACATAGATATATGTACATATGTGTGCATATGGCAATATTTGGCATATTATATTGTTTTAAACTGACATTTCAGAATGAATAGCTTCATTATTTGGGGTAAGGAGGTTCTCTTTTAAGTCAGGTGCTCTACCAGTTGATATCCCCCAGTCCCTTTTGTTTTACTTTTAAAATAAGTTTTTGGGCTGGGAATGTAGCTCAGTGGTAGAGTACTCGTCTTACATGCATGAAGCCCTGGGTTCAATTCCTCAGTACTACATACACAAAAAAAAGCCAGAAGTGGTGCTGTGGCTCAAGTGGTAGAGTAAAAAGAAGCTCAGGGACAGTACCTAAGCCCTGAGTTCAAGCCCCAGGACTGGGGGGGGGGGGGGGGTTCTCATGGTTCTGCCCAGGCCAGCCTGGGAAGTAATGCTATTTTTTTTCCAAAGTAGCTGGGATCAGAGGCATAGTCCACTATACCCAGCTTACTAGTTGAGATAAGAACATTTTCTGAAGCTAAGCTCAAACCTCAATTCTCCCTTATCTCCACCTCCCAACTAGCTAGGATTACATGTCTAAGCCATCTATCTACTCCTATCTCTTGATATTTTAATATGCATTAAAAGGCTCAATTTAATTACATAAAAATAACATACCACAGCCAGGGATTTCTTCATTTCATCTTTCTGTGTTATTGTTCCTTCTGTCTTAATTTTGTCTTCAGCTTCACCTTTTTCCATTATTTGTCGCTGTCTAGCCTTTCGTATATTTGGTTTTGGTCTATGAAGCCGGCCTCTCAGTGGTAGAGCAGTTTGGTTAACATTTTCCTTTGTCTTTTGTTGGAAATCATCTTGTTTTTGAGTCCTAGAAAAAGGACAGGGAGCTATTGATTGTAAAACACTGAAAATTACAATTAAAAAAAAATTAAATTTCACCTAGTACACTAAAAATATTGTTTAATCACTTAAGAAACAGAGTCTGATTACAAAAATATTTTATAGAAGAAGTTAATGTGGAGCTGGGGATGTATTTTAGTAATTAGAGTGTTTGCCTAGCATGTGAGTCTTTGGGTTTCACCCCTAGAACTGCAAAAAGGGGAAGAAAGGAAGGGAGGGAGGGAGGGAGAGAGCGAGGGAGGGAGGGAAAGGAAAGGAAAAAGTTGCTTCAATTCTTAAAAGAGCAATAAACATATATGATGCTCCTAACATAGTCAAATTTATAGAAA